AGCCCTGAGACGCCACCCACCCTTGTCTCGACATAGCGAATTAAACATTCTACCACGCTCTTCGTGCTTCTCACGACAAACTTCATAAATAATAACTCGGCGCCGCCCATGAAGCGATACAGAGTAACTTCAACTACCGCGGGGAAAGCCTCTTATTTTAAGAAGTTCAACGCGAGTTTCCTGGCAGAAAGGGCGTTAACGCTTCGCCCACTCCGTTAAACAAATCGGGTGAAACTTTGTACGATTTCTCTTCCGCAGTTTGTATTCGGATACGGTGTACTGATTTTTTTTTTTATATCACGTTATAAATCCAATACACAGGTGCACTCATTTTCCCTAGGAAATTTCACAGAATTCTATGACGTTGCAGAATTATTTATTTTCAAGTTTATCATAAATTTATGGTACATTTACATTCGAGACGTGAAATATATTATTTTGCCACGGCCTTATGTACCAATTAGGACACCCTTGAAGGTGTATGAATTTTATGAATATTTTTAACGGGCCAGTTTCCGAGTCATCGGGGGGATGAGTCTGGGAGGGAGGGGTACGTTGTGCTATCTGTTATAATCTAGGTTATGAGCGCTAGGCCAAGCCGCGAGGGAAAATTGAACCTGGAGGGCTGAAAAGAACGAGAGGGTGGGCGGTGGGTGGTGGGTGGTGGGTGGCGCGCGAGGAGAGACAGGCCGGCCCTGGGGTGCAAAGGCTAGGCGTATCGCAAGCTCTGTCAGCACTCGAAAGCTAACCTCCCCCCTCGACCCTCCCCTTCGTCGTTCGACGACTCGCCCCACCCTCGGGGAGCTTTTTTGCGATTCCATCTCCCTCCCTCCGGGGCCCTTCCTTTCTCTGTTTATCTCCGTCTATCTAGCCGCGTATATACATATCTCTCCCTTTCTGTCGAGCTTGCATTAGCGAGGGCTTTATCGAGTTCCGGGGAGACGGGGGGATCGATCTCTCTCTCTCTCTCCAGAATCGCGCGACGTGATTCGATCTGCCCCTGTGATAACAAACTCGCGAGCGGTGCGTCCCGGCGCCTCCTCGAGCGGGCACGAGGGCGGAAACTGGAGCTTTCTCTCGGGTGCTTTCCAGGTCTTCCTCTTTTATCGACTCCACCCTCTCGCGAAAATCCTGCCGGAGGGGGACCTGGGGGGCTGTGCCCGGAAGAACTGCTCGGGGACGCGTCGGGCCCCGGAAACGCTCCATTGAAACCTGGGGATATTGATTTTTTGCCAATTCTGGTAATTAATGGCCACGTCGGGGCGAAACTAGGCCGGCCAGGACGCGTGGGCGAAATTCGGCCGAGCTTTTCAACCCGGCCCCGATATATCGCCCTGGCTGGCGATGCCTATTCAAATTTACCTCCACGGCCAGGATTCTGCGACCTGGACCAGTTACTTTATGGACCCGGTGACCCGTGCCCCCCTCACGGAGGACAATGGCTCCTCTAGGTGGCCCTGGCTGTTGCGACATTCTTTTCGAGAGGGAAGCCGTTGATATGGTCTTGGCCTTCCGAAATGTCACGACGAAAGTGGCCCATCGAGGCGGCATTTTGCTTCGATTCGATCGCCTTCGATTTTATAATCCTGATATCGTATCGGTGATTTCCTACGATTTTCCGGGACCTTGGGATTTCTCCCGAAGAATCGAATGCCAAGACCGAGGCCATATTCGCGGGACCTTTCTCTGATCCTTGAAGGACCTTCGCCATCCCGGGTAGTAATAATCGATCCGGGACTTCCGGGAATAATCCCGAAGGATCGTCGCCTCTTGGGGGGGATCCAATCGCGACCTCGGGCCCGGCAAAAAGAATTCGTTAGCGAGTTGTCAGGAGTTCTTTCCTCCCCCGGGATGGGGGATGATTGGTCGAGGCCCGGGACCTCGCGGGACGTACTATATACCATCCCTCGGGATAAATGGGAACGGATCCGCGAGTGCTCGGATAAAAAGAGTGCCGGGCCCAGCTATCGGTCTTACGCCCACGACGTCGGCGTTCCAGAATTGCGAGAGGTCGCTTTCTTCTCTCGAGGGAGACCTTTTCCCGAGGGAGAAGAGGTCTCCCCCGATGCCCCGGGACGAATTCGTCTCGCTCTCGGCCCCCCGTGGTGTCTCCGATTCCCTCCCGTTTTTTCCCACCTTTTTTTTCTCTCGCCTCTCTCTCTCTCTTTTTAATCGTACACCGGGGAAAAACGTCTCTGGTTAAAAGAAAACGCTCGTTCGGATCAAATGACGATGTCTTCGTGGAAGGAACTTGTAATTACTCCTAAGAGATGTTTCTTCTCCAAAAGAACGACATTATGTTCAATTGAAAAAATGACGGTGGAATATTTTCTTCAACTCCATTCGGTGGAATAATTTTTTGAGAGGAAAAAAAATATTTTTTTCGGGGTATCTTCGGATGTCAGGGGCGACTCTTCTTCTCTCGTTTGTGGAAGGGAGGGTAATGGCTCGTGATCGAATTTGTCTCACGGTGGCCCGTGATAAGTTAATTGTTAAGCCGCTTAGGAATTATATTTAGACGCGAATCGGTCGTCGTAACGAGCGATGAACGATATTACTCGGCCCTGGCTTGCTGGATTTTCATTTATATATCACACTCTAATTATCGCCCGGGCTTGCACCCGGCAATCGAATTCGGCCACCGACGTGTGCCGCTCGTTGTGGCAATTATGCGTGCACCACGCGTGCGCGCCCCGACGCTCGCGTGCAATTTCATTTTCCGCCGGAAGTTCTACATAGCGCCGGTTCTTGTCGAGCATGAACGCTCGTTACAGCGAATCCGAAACTCCGGGTAATTCGGACAATGGCGAGCTTTACTCCACCCTGGGTAATTTCTTAAATGCGATAATGTAGGTACGACATCGCATCCGGCTGGTCCATAAATTCCAAATTTGAATATTTGTGTTCAACGATTGTATTTTTTAGAGAGAACGGGAACGGTAATCGAGGTAATATGGATTAAGGGGATTGTAATTCTTTGAACAGTCCCAAGGAAATGTTTCGTTAATTCAAGGAAATTTTTCTTTGGGTTCGATGAATTTTTTTCCCTCGGTGCAGCACGTCTTGATTAAATTCAAGATGCTGCGGGGGGTAACTTTGTTACCGATATACCGCGACGGGGGAAACGTCGCGGGTACTCCGCAAAGCTCCGATTAAACATTGATTCGGTAAATATGGACCGATGGATCAGCTCTCGAAAGGGCGCATACCGCCTGGAGGGGGGTTGAACGGATTCCGCACGCGGAAAACCGCTCATACCCTGCGTACTGCGGTGAATTTGACGGAAAATCCGCAAAGGGCTTGCGGGAGATGAAATTCGTAGATTTAATTTAGGCCGGTCAAATTAAAATCTGGGCTTGTGCCCCGAGAGAAAAAGAGATTCATCGAACTGAAGAAATAACTCGTCACTTTTTTTCGGGTATGTTTATTTGTTTTTTCATTTCTCTTTTTTTTATTTTGGTTTTCATTTTCGGATAGAAAATTGGAACTGGGAGCTTTTAGCTAAGTTCGGGGGAAATCGGGTAGTCGAGTTGGGTCGAGCCGGGGAAGTACCTTTCCTCTGATTTTCCGGGGCAAAAATCCTCGTCCCGCCGCATCCTCCCTCCAGGATTAATTAACCCCTCGAGGACGAGCCCGGGATACCCTGGAAATTCGCGATGAAAAACTGACCGAGATTCCGCAGTCGTGTTTCGCGTTGTTCAATGCCTCGGGAAAAGTCGGCTCCCTCTCATTAGGCCGGCCCCGACTCTAAGGATATCCCATGAAGGAAACTCCGCCTCTTAATTCTCGAGCCCTCGACCTCTTCGATTACTCCTCCAATTACTCGATTACTCTTCTTTGCTCCCCTCGTTCCGCGTATCGATAAACTCCCCTTTTCGCCCCTCCTCGACTGACTGCCCTTCTTCCCCGAAAAAAAAAAAAAAACAGATTTGTCACGAAAGGAGTAAAACGAAAAGAGGATATTCCGCGTCGTCCCAAGAAAAAGGATTAGTTGACTGAAAAAAAAAAATATATATATAAAAGGAATAAAAACGCGATGAGAATTTCGCATCGTTGAAGATCCTGACATAAGGGGGTGGTTTTCGGATCGAGTGACTCTCCGGGGTGGAAATCGAGATCCTCCTCTTTCTTCCCTCGAAAACTGTCCTCCGATTCCCTTTGACGACCGCGGCCGCTTTATTCGCGTTATTCTCTTTACTCGCCTTATCCGGTTTATTCTCTTTATCCGCAGTTTTTCCGCGGCTTCGACGAGTGTCTCTCGCCTATCCCCCGGGGTGGCTAATTGGAAAAAAGAGGAGAATCCGCGGAAACGTGCCCGGCCGTGCACTTTTCGATTAAATCACGGGGTGGAGGTTTTTTCTTCATCCGTCCACCCCCGCTCGCTTTTCGCAGGTGGTTCGGGGGTAATCTGAAAAATTAGAGGGAGGGACCCCCCGGGGCGTCGTTTGAAGCTCGCGGCTCTGAATGCAACCCCCTCGTTCGTTTTTGCATCTGACGTGCCTCGTCTGCCGGTGAATGACACTCGACTCTCTGTAACCACTCCTGTAACACTCGTAATATCCATTACATTCGTAACCTCCAAAACACTCGTGGTCTCCAGAATTTTCATGTTTTTCACCCTGCCCTAGGAAACACTCGGTACTGCCTAAAGAGCGGGATTTTCCTCATAATTTTTCATCTCTCTTTTTTTTTTGGTTTTTCATCGGATCCATTTTGGAGCATCCGACAGGCGATGATTTCGCTCGGTCGTTACGAGTCGTTACGATTTCGTCAAAGCGTCGTTATCGTCCCCGCCATTAACGGCGGGGAGGGGAATGGTCGGTGTAAAGTGATTTCCCGGGGACTCGAGTCGGCGAATTGGCGGCGTAATCGTAAATCGATCGTAAACGCGAGATCGAAAACTCGCCGGAGTATTCGCCGTGTCCGGATTTGATGGGCGGGTACACATCTTTCGGCGTTAAACGAATCTAACGAGTTCTCGATAGCGAGCCTTTAATAAAGTCGAGCCGGAGCCCGAGAGGAACTTACTACGACGCCGGATCTCGGATGGTCGTATTCGGGGCTGAAAAATGCATCTCCTCGTGTCGTTGGCCTTATCACTCGTGCCGATCGTGATACCCGCCACCTCGGTAAGGACTCTATCTGTCTCGCCATACTCTCTCGCTCTTTCATTGCTCGTGAAGTTTGACTTTTTTAAAAGAAAGAAATGAGTTTTTATTCATCCCAGGCCAGAACCAAGGAAAGGTATTTTTATTTTTAATAAAATTTCACGAGCGTCGCGTTCTTTCTTAGGGCCTCCGTAATCACGTGTCGATGTTTCACGTGATTCGGGGCGCCCAGTTTGGAGGAAAAGTTTCATCAATCTTTTGCACGTTTTCGAGTACATATATAAAGTAACACATCAATCGGTGGATTTTTCTTGGCTAAATCGAAGTCGGTCCAGGCCGATCGGCGATGCTCTCACCTAGACTCCGTCGACGTCGGCGAGCCCTACCACGTGGACGGCCGACCTGGGGTGGTGAGTCAAGAAGGGACTCGAGACGAGAAGACCTCGCAGGAGTCGAATGGCAGCCTGGACACTGGGGGTGGAAAGTTGCACCAGGGTGGAGTCAAAGCTCGAGTGCACCCTTTTGATCCACCTGTTGGCGACGGGAGGAGGAAACGGGAGGCGAATGTCGAAACTGCCGCGGAACTGACAACGGAGTGCGTCGAAACGGAGAGGTCTTCGGGTAAGGGCGGTCAGGTGAAGTTGGATAGCGACGTCTTTGTTGAACGCGTAGATAGACACCAGGGGGTGGCCCACCCGGGAATAACAATCGGGGCGAGGAGGAAGAGGGAAGAAAACGCGGAAACTAGCACGCAGCCGGGGAACGAGGGCGACAAAGCGACGCAGGCTCCTAGCGAAAAGCCAGAGAACGGGGAGAAAGAGGCCCAGAAAGAGGAAGGAGAAACGGGAGGTCCTTCTTCGGGGTCCCCTTCGACGACCTCCGACGGGGGCGAAGCGAGGAGACTGGGGGAGGGCGAGGGGTCCAGCACCGTCGCGACGTCGGAGGCTGTGGAGGTTACTAGGGAAGCGAAGGCTGAGGGGAACGAGACGAGTGAAGGGGGGGCGAAGGATAAAGTCGATGATAAGGGCGAGGATAAAGCCGAGGATAAGGGCCAGGATAAGGAGGGTGGAAATCATTTGGTGCCTCCCTTGGTCTCCCTTGGTCTGCCCATGGTCGACATCGCCAAGCGGGCTCTGGGGGAGCTGAACCCCGTGCACGGATCCGTGCTCTCCTCCAGGATCGCTGACCTCCTCAAGCTGCATAGCGTGAAGATGGAGGGGGACAAGGACTCGTCGCCGAGGGAGGTCGTCCAAGAGAGGAGGAGGAGACAGGTGCAGCTCGACGGGCAGAAAGAGCTGACGGCAGGCGCGGCCGACCCCGCTCCAGAAACGAGGAAGGACGCCCTGGGAAAAAAGGAAAATAGGCAGGGCGATATCGATTGCGGTGGACTTGACCTCGTGAAAAGGGAGGTGGACCGAGAGACCGAGAGATTGTCATCGGGAAGATCTGCCAAGAAGGGCGGACGCGCCAGGGGCCAGAAGATCTCCATATCGAAGGGGAAGGTCCTGCTCCAGTCCGGTAGGAGAAGAGCCGGGATATACTCGTCGGAATCCTTGGAACATAGGGAGCCCAGGTTGCCCCCGGTAAGGCCTCTCACCTCCAAGCCCTATAATACTTGGAGGGCCCTCAGTACCGAAGAATTCCGCCGTCGAGACCCTCGCACTCGAGAGAAGGGCCAATGAGGGAAGGTCCTGCTCTAGCTTGGTGGGAGGGAGATGGTGGCATCGTCTGCAGCATCTTCGGAAGATAAGGAGTTCAAATTACCTCCTTCAAACCCTTTAATACTTGGAAGGTCCTCGGTATCGAAGAAAATTCCGGCGTCAATACACCCTCACCCTCGAGAGAAGGGCCAATAAGGAAAGATCCTGCTCCAGTTTGATAGAGAGGGATGGTGGCATCATCTGCAGCATCCTCTGCAGTATCCTCGGAAAATCAGTCCAAGTTACCTCCAGGAGAGTTCTGTACTTTCAAACCCTTCGGTACTTGGAAGCTACCCTTGCCAGAAGGGCCAACGAGGGGTGGCGATTTTTTAATCACTTAATCTCCAATCGAGACTTTGGACTGCTCATTGTTTCTGTATCGGCGAATAAAAACCGAGTCGTTTGGTTTCTTAATGACGATTTTCCTTCGAGGTCGGGCCCGGTGCTAATTAATTCCAGAGATTACGTCGCGCGGGGATCGCCTCCGATCGATACGGCTAATTGGCACCTTGTGATAAATCGGTGATAACTCGCTGGTTTAGGAATCGAATCAATTCCGATTGCGCTCGAGCGGTGCCGCCTGCTCGTGAGTCATGCTCGTTACTCTCGAGGTTAATGAGTGTTTGATTAACAAAAGGAAAAGAAGGAGATGTTGTTCAAGTCGAGCTCGAGCCTCTGGGAATTATTGGATCGGCCTGGTCAACAGGGGATGATTTATCGAGATTAAAAAAGCTCGTACACCCAGTGCGTATGAAACCGTGCGTGACTTTTATTCCCGTATGCCGAGTTATCAACGGCTTTTTAAATGTCATTGCATGACTCGCGAATGCCCAAGAGGCATTAAAGAAACGCGATAAGTTCGCTGAAATTGCACAATTAAGGTTTAAATTTAAATCGGACAAGGTGAACCGCGAACCAAGGTCCTGGGAATTTCTTTTTTATAACCTCCCCGATCTGCAAGGGAGGTCCTTAAGGGGAGGGTCGAGGAAGCGTTCGCTTTTTAGATTTTTTGTATAAATGCTTTTTTTCTTTTACGCCGAGTGTTTTTTGCCGAAACAATAATTGGGGTGCAAAGTTGCCGGCTCGCCATTTTCTCGGATTTTCATGCGGGACAAAAGGCGAGTTGCTAGAACAGAGTTAATTCCACCCCTAACGAGGCCATGAAAGTCCGTAATTCCGGGGCGGATTGAAAGTCCATCTTTCCGAAACAGAATCCCAGGTCGAGGATAACGCGTGATGTCTGAGGTGTTGCATTAATCTCCCATAATTAACCCCGTGATGCGAAAAGCCGCGACTCCAGTCTTCGGGGTGGTACGGGGGCTCGACGCCCCCGGGGTGGAAGTTAAAGGAAGAGCCGCGTATCCCGGGGGATATCCTGCGTGTCCGGGACAAAAGGACGTAGAAATCGAGCCTGCTCACTTTTCCACGATTTAATGAAATCCCCGGTTAATCCGGCCTGGGAATTAACCCGGACGTTTTGGGGTTGCGGGGGATTACCTTTGAGTTTGGGCTAATCTAGTCTGATGTAAATCTCACGGAGGGGGTTGCGGGTACATCGAGGAAGCGACATCCCCCGAAGAGTGTGAAAATTTATGTTAATTCCCATCGACTTTTCTCAGGGTGCACGTATTCGGACACGAGCAGGGGGCGCGTCCGACAGGTGACTATCAATTTCCAGGGGGTGTCATTTACCCCTGACCCGCCCCCGTCAAAATCTCGCCCCCGCGATGACAAATTCTTTTTTCCCCTCGAGATTATCGATGTCGCGGTGACTTGCGGCGTTTCCCCTGCGTTTTCCGCCCGTCACGATGAGTGTCGAGGCTCGATGCGGAATTAAGTGGAATTTGATAGGGTCTAATGACTCGTTTGCCGCGCATCGATGCCATCTGGGTGCTGTCCGGATGCTCTGGGTGTCATCTCGACGTCATCTCCTCGGAGATAAATAGGTGCCGTAAGTTACAGAAGCTTATCCGTTGGAAGTAGTTGTTCGCGGTACGGTTAAAAAAATTAATGGATTAGTGCGGTTAATCTTAATTTCTTTTTGACAATTTGCGGTCCTTATCTCAACGGATAAAATCTGTAAACTTGCAAAATTTTTTTTTTCCCCTGGGTCGATGCTACCTCGATGTCATCTCATTGTCATCTCGATGCCATATTGAACACCCTGGCCTGTTCCCACGGAGCCCTTCACGAAGGACCATTTCTCGGGGTTGAGTGATGTCCGAGAAAGCTCGCGGGGTTCCTCTTCCTCTTCCCCCGTCCCCTTTTCCATTCCCTCGGGGGAGTTCACCCCAAATCCCATATCCAGGTACACCTTCCTCGACCTCGAGTTCTCGTTAACGCGCGACTCGGGCCGCGTCTTGGGGATTCTCCGGTATCTATATCCACTCTGGTCGGGATTGCACCGGGTATCCCGGACGCGGGATGCCCCTGCCACGGGAAATCCCTCGGGATATCCTCGCCACCGCCGACAAGTCCACCGAGTAACCGGCTTCCGCAAGTGCAGGCACCCGGAGGCACCTGCAGGTGCATCCTTCCCCGGGAGATCGATCTTTGCATCCGACCCACCACTTTGGGACCCAACGCACCGACGATTCTTAACGAAATCAATTTCTCAATTTTACCGAGGAATCGAACCGAGGTATCACCTTAACGAGAAACGTGTTCGGTGGTTGCAAGTAATTCCCACCAGCCAGAATGCAATTTCCATTTTTTCTTTTCTCCCTTTTTCATTTCCTTTTCACTCGGCGAGGGGCCGCGTGGGAAGCGAAAACGTTTTTATGAATTTTCACTCTTTCAGGGGGAATTTCCCCCCTCGGTAGGGGGAAGGATAATATTTATGCGGGAATTTATGCAACGCCGAGCGGCCGATTTGAATAGCTCGCTTCTTTTCGAGTGGCCGATGTGTGTCAGGGGTCGGAGGGGGCATCCTCTCTTATCTGGCAGGGGTGGTGTCTCTTATTCCCTGACCTTTCGGCGAATTATTCCCTCCTGACCTTTCCCAAGGATTATTCATTATTCCATTGAAGTCTGCTGCATAACGCATAGAGTCTGATCCGATCCTGGCCATCGCTCAAAGGGCGGCCCTGGCCGTTTTACCTTGATTGTTGTCGCAAGTGCTGGGGAGGAAACCGAGGGGCTGCGACTTATCATTCTTATTTTCTCGACCATGGATAACGTACCTAGTTCCCCCGGGGGTTAAGGCGATTGAAAAACGAGAATCTCCCCCTTCGTTTTGAAAAACCCTCCCCGGTGTAACCCGGGCCGCCCCCTATTGCTTTCCGACTCGGCCGGTGTTCAATAACCGTTTCCAATAACCCCGGTTAATATAATATTAAAATATTCGGGCAATATTGCCGCTCGCAAAATTCCCCCTCGGTTGAAGATATCCCGGCCGGGGTCATATACGATTGGCTTTTTCCCCATTAATATTATTACCGCGCGAACAAGCGGCGGCGTAATCAACTGATTTGCATACACGCGAAAATCCTCGGTTATCGCGTTCCCACTGGGCGGCGTTAAATTCGGGGGAGGGAGATATCCACCCCACGGTGAATTTTTCCTCGTTAACACCCTTAATGCCGACAATGTCGCCCCGTTTATGGTTTAACCGCCTCATCGTTAATCTCGTTTCCCGCGTCGACGGGATATATCGCCCTCGGGTAATTAACGGCGTTACGGGGGATCCGTTAATCATCCTTCGGCGGAGCGTTTAGTTCGTTGTCTTCTTTTTCTGTTTTTTTTCTTTTCTTTTATCGCTCTCGTCGTTTTCATCAGTTTTATCTATCGCTTTTACGCCGCGTCTTGGGGGGAGGCCCGAGGGGTGCTAAGTGCAAGGCGGTGCATCCGGGGGTAGGAACGGGGGTGGGGCACACAGGTGCAGCAAAGTGCATCGCGCGTGCACCGGGGGGGTTAAATTCGCCCCTTTCTACGTGTAACATGCCCCACTTCTTGCACACGGCCCCGATGCGCTCGCGTAATTGATGGACCGACGACACGCCATTTTGGATGTAGCCGGTTATCGCGAATCAGTAATCAAGCTGGACCCCAGAACTAACCTCGGGCCTGCACTTCGGTTATTGCGCCGAGTAATCTACGGCTTTCGCTAACGACGTAATAATCATTTACCCGATCCGGGCCGAGGAATCGCGGGATACGGAAGCTCTCGGCACGCCATCGATTTTTACCCAGGAAGTACCGATTTAGAGATACATGGGAAACGTCGTTCCCCGAGACACCTCCTCCTTACAGCTGTTCCTCTTGGCGCGATTTTTCCAATTTTTCCGGAGTTTTATGAATTTCACGTATTTTTAGAATTTACATGTTTCCAGAATTTCCGATCGAGGTGGTGTCCAATCGCGCGATTTCCTCCTCCCACTTGTTCCCTTTACCGCGTTCGTGTTTAGTTTCGATGGATTTCCGGCATTTCACGTATTTTTCCAAGTTTTCCCCCCTTTCCGATATTTTCCGTATATCCGATCGACGTCCAATCGCGCTCTATCGGATTCTCGCGGGTTGCGGAACGAGGCGGATTCCTTGGGGGAGGGGTTTTGCTTTTGCTTTCCCAGATCAAGGTGAGCTTTTCGCACTTGGCGTAAGGACGAAGGGGGAAAAGTCCTCGAGGATTTCCACCGCCTCGGGATTGGCTGGTCCAGGCTCGCCGGAAGCTGCCTCCTGGAGAACGCCTCTTCCGGCCGCGTTGCGGAAAATCTCGAGATGGGAGGAGAGGGAAGTCAGACCCGCGGTGCACACCGGGGGGAAATCGCTTTTCCGTCAGGTGTGACTCCTTGTCGTTGGGAAAACGCGATTTCATTAGTTTCATTCCGACTCCGGAAATTGAATTGCCCCGTTAAGTGTAGTATTAATTAAATTTCTGGGTCGAAAGGCGACGAGGGAGACCCGCCCCCCTCCTGGATCGCGGGAATGTTTTCTTAATCACGGAGATGGCGCTTTAATTAATTCTCCGATCCATTGGCCCCGCGTGGTTTTTTTCAAAATTAATGCCCGAACGAACCGCAATCCGTGTGCCCCCGGTCGATAAAGCGGAGGAAACGTCGCGTAGACGGAATCGCGAGTTCCATAGACGGGGGAAAAGACGCGGAGAGGACCAGTCGGGCTGAAAACGCGTCCGGAAAGTGGCTTTTCCGACGACACTGATCGAAACGCGTCCGCCCTAAGGATTTAACTCCTCGGAGCGTGAATTGGAAGTTCGAGGGGGGTCTCGAGCTTAATGGAACTTTTTTTTCTTTCCGCTCCCAGGGTTCCGCGAATTTTTCGCGAGTTCCCCCCCGAGCCCTCGAGCACGTGGATGTATTAAAAAAAGAGATTGACAATAAATTTAAAAACATTCAGGACCTTCTGCGAAAATTCCGAGATTCATTTGCATAATATTCTCACGCTTCGACACCTAGGGG